CATAGCATTTGAAGGCAGGCATGAATGAATTAGACATATACACACTGTAAGCTTAGGTAACTACTACCAAAAAAGTTAAAAGGATGTATAAATTAGAAATCATTTATAGTAGAGATAAAATAGCATCATAAAAGATATTCAACAACCCAAATGAAGTCAGAAAAAGATAACATTTTTAAAAGATAGAAAAGTTAGAAGACATCTAGCAAAATGGCAGATTTTAATCCAACCACACCAATGATTACATGAAATGTAAATTGTCTAAACACGTCAATTAAAAACAGAAATTTGAGGACTGGATTAAAGAAAAGACGAGACCCAGCTATATGGAGTCTAAAAGAAACCCACTTTAAATATAAATATATAAATAAGATAAAAGTTAAATTATGGGAAAAGATATAGCACTCAAACACTAATCAACAAAGCTAGAGTAGTTTTACTCAAATTAGACTAAGTCAACTTCAGAGTAACACATATTTCCCAGGGTAAAGAGGGACATTACGTAACGATAAAAGGGCTAATTTTCCAAGAAGACATAACAATTCTAAACATACATGTACCTAATAACAGAACTTCAAAATTCATTAAAGAAAAATTCATAAAACTAGAAGGAGACAGATAAATCTATCACTAAAATTGGAGAATTCACACTCTTCTCTCTTTAATTGACAGAACAAGTTGACAGAAATGTAGTAAGAATATAGAAGACATAATCATAACCATCAATCAGCTGGGTGTAATTGACATTTATAGAACACTCTACCAAGAATACACTTTTTTTCAAGTGCACATGGGACGTTCATCAAAGACTGAACATATACGGGGTCTCATAAAAACTTTTAACAAATTTAAAAGAACTAAAATTATAGAAAGAATATTTTCTGATCATAAAAGAAACTGTTTACAAATCAATAGCAGAAAGCTCTCTGGAAAATTTCCAACTATTTGGAACTAAACTACATGCTTCAAAATAACACACAGGTTGAAGAGGAAGTCACAAGGAAAATTAGAAAATATTTTAAATTTAACCAAAATAAAAACAACATATCAAAATGTGTGGGATGCAGCTAAATCAATGCTTACAGAAAAAATACAGCATTAAATGTTTATATTAGAAAATAATAAAACTTCATAGCAATAACCTAAACCTACACTTCAAGAACTTTTAAAATGAAGAGCAAATTAAACTCAATGAAAGCTGAAGGAAGTAAATTAAAGACAAAGAGGATAAGTCAATGAAATTGACAACAGCAACACAAGAGAGAAAAATCAATGAAGCCAAAAGTTGTATCTTTGGAAAAAAATCAATAAAATTAATAAACCTATAGTAAGAGTGACTCAGAAAAAAGAAGAAACAGATTATAGACATAAAAAGTGAAATGGGAACATCACCACAGACCCTTCAAGCAAGAAAAAGGCTAATAAGGGAATACCACAAAAACTCTGTGCCTATAAATTAAACAACTTTGATGAAATTGATGAATATATCAAAAAAACATAAATAGCTAAAACTTATTTAAAAAGAAGTAGATGACCTACATAGTTCTGCATCCATAAAAGAAACTGAATATGTAGTTGAAAACCTGCCAACATTGAAAACGAAGGCTCAGATGACTTCATGGTGAACTCTACTAAAATGGAAGAAATGATATCAATTCTATACAAACTATTCCAAAGTGCATTCCAAAATGTAACTTTTATGAAGGTATCATTACCTCGATATAAAAACAAAGACATTACAAAAAAAAAGAAAACTGCAGATCAATATCCGAAAATGCACGTAGACACAAAAATTCTCAACTACTGTAGCCAATTCGATTTAGCAGTATACAAAAAGATAATACATCATGGTTAAGTGTGGTTTACCCCAGGAAAGCAAAGCTGGTAAAACTTGCAGCTTTAATCATAATGATCCCACTCTGAAAACAACCCAGATGTTCCTCTACTTGGGAGAAGATAAATAAACTGTGGTACATCTATGTAATGGAATATCCTTCAGCAGTGAAATGTGAAAATGAGGTGTTGATACGTGCAACAATACATATGTGGTTGATGCTCAACACATTACGCAACATTAAAGAGACTGGACTCCAAAAGGCTGCCTATGCCGTGATATCATTTATGCACACTCTGGCAGAAGTAAAACTGTATAGGAACAGAAGACAGATCAGTGCTTGCAGGACCTGGATGTGAGAGGAAGGGATGACTGCAAACACACACGGGGGCATCTCCGAGGGTGATGCATTGTTCTCATCCTGATTACAGTGGTTGCACAACTGTGTTCATTTGTCAAAACTCACAGAACTGTACAATCATCTACAAGTGTGAATTTTTCTGAATATTATATAAGTAATAATTGCACAATGGACAGGAAGGATACAGATACTATGTTCATGATGGTGGCTGCCTCTGGGAATTGAGGAAAAAGAACAGAAGGAGGTGGAGGGTTTGTTACTATCATCTGCAATGTTTTAGTTGTTTCATTCTTAAAAATACAAAAATATAAACATGCTAGTAACTATAAATTTGGGGCAATGGGTACCTGCATTTGTTATATTATTCTCCTTACTTTTCTCTGTTCTTAAAATTCCTTCAAAAATAAAAACCAACATGCCAATTTAGTTCTTACCAAACCCCATCCCGTTTTCTAGTCATAATTTTTTATGACTCCAAAATTGGGATAGTGCTCCAAAATTGGGATAACTATTTCTAGGAGCACATGCTTCCAAATTTTCACAATTTGCAAATAAAGGAAAAAGAGCTGCAACCTGCTGAGCCTGACCAGGGCAAAATCACTGAAATTACAGAAAAAAAATACAGCATTAAATGTTTATATTAGAAAATAATAAAACTTCATAGCAATAACCTAAACCTACACTTTAAGAACTTTTAAAATGAAGAGCAAATTAAACTCAATGAAAGCTGAAGGAAGTAAATTAAATCCATCCACACTGCAGAGGCATGACGCCAACAGTCATGATGCCGACGGCCATAGCCAGAGCGAGGCATCCCAGGGGACAAAAATGTAAGCAGTGTTTGCTGGAGGTGACAGGATTTGGGCTGTATTTTCCTCACTGTTCACAGAACAGAGATAAAAGGGGATTACGCCAACCCACTGCTGCACCCCCAGCTCAGCGTCCTGTAATCTCCTGGCCCTCTGGGTGCAGGGAGCAGAGAAGCTTTCTCTGATGGGGCTGTACCAGCATCGGTGGCACAGCCTGTGTGGATCCTGCCCTGAAGCAGCAGGAGGAGGGAGCTGGGGAAGTGAGTCCAGGCACAGGAAGATGCCCAGGTGTCGGGGAGGCTGACAACATGTAGGGTGATGGGCCACTAGGCAGGGTATGAACTGGATGTCCCAGATGTGTTCCAGCCACCTGTGCAGTGTTTAAAACATTGGGAAAGTTCATATAATAATCCAGCAACAGGCGGGGCACGCTGGCTCACGCCTGTAATCCCAGGACGTTGGGAGGCCAAGGCGGGCGGATCATGAGGTCAGGAGATCCAGACCATCCTGGCTAACACGGTGAAACCCCATCTCTACTAAAAATACAAAAAAAAAAAATTAGCTGGGCGTGGTGGCGGGCGTCTGTTGTCCCAGCTACAGAGGCTGAGGCAGGAGAATGGCATGAACCTGGGAGGCAGAGCTTGCAGTGAGCTGAGATAGTGCCACTGCACTGCAGCCTGGGCAACAGAGCAAGACTCCATCTC